ACATGAGAGGGGGGAGGGTCAGATGGAGAAGCAGACTCCCTGCCAAGCAGGGAGCCCGATGCGGCACTCGATCCAGGGACTCCAGGATCATGACCTGAGCCGAAGGCAGTCGCTTAACCAACTGAGCCACCCAGGCGCCCAAATTACATTCACTTTAAACAGTCCATGGAGAAGTCAGCAAACTTTTTCTGAAAAGGCTCAGATAGTAAATATTTTAGGCTCTATGAGTCACATATGGTCCCTATCACATATTCTTCTTTATTTATAACCCTTCAGAAACGCAAAATCATTCTTAGCTTGAGGCTGTGGGCTGGATTTGGTCAGCATACCACAGATTGCTAGCCCCTGGTCTAGATACTAAAAGGCGGTGATTATCAGACTGGATAAAAAAGTAAGACCAAACTATATGCTGTTATATGAGATACACTTAAGTTAAAATAAAAGGCTAGAGAAAGATATGCCATGAAATAACAATAAAAGAAAGCTGAAGCAGTTATATTAATACATAGAACGCAGGAAAAAGAATATTACCAAAGGAACATTTCATAATAAAGGCGTCAATTCATCAAGAGGATATAGGAATCTTGGGCCACCTGGGCTCAGTCAGAAGAGCATGCAACTCTTGATCTCAGGGTTGTGAGTTCAAGCCCCACACGGGGTGTAGAGATCACTTAAAAATAAATAAATAAACTTAAAAAAAAAAAAAGGACATAGTAATCCTAAATATGCATGCACCTCATAACAGAATTTCAAAACATAAAGCAAAACTGACAGAATTGTAACAGACAAATCAACAGCTGTATTTGTAGGTTTCAAAAGTCCTCTTTCAGTAACTGATAGACCAAGTGACAAAAAAAATCAGAAAAGATAGAGAAGAGTTGAGTACTATCACAAAACACTTGACCTAGGGGATAAACACTCTATCCAACAATAGTATAACACTGCTTTTTTTCTTTTTTCAAATGCACATTGAAAAAGATAGTCCACATTTTGGGCCATAAAACAAGTCCCAATAAATTCAAAAGGACTGATGTTACAGAGTATGTTCTCTGACCACAACAGAATTAAATTATGAACTAAATAAATTAAAAATGAATTCTCAGAAAGATCTGAAAAAGTCCCCCAAAATTTATATGTTAAAGAACACTCTTCTAAGTAGCCCATGGGTAAAAGAAAAAAGGGAATTTTGAACTCAAAAGGAAGAGAAAATTATGCAGAAAAAAGGAAAGAATAAAATCAGTAATCGAAAGTAGCAAAGAAAGGGCAAACTGGAGAGAAAAATCAGTAAAACTAAAAGCTAGCCTTTGAAAAGATCAATAAAACTGATAAATTGCTAGTATACTGATCAAGAAAAAAAAGACAAATTATTAACATCAGGAATTAAGGGGGAGGCATTACTATAGATCTGACAGGCATTAAAAGGATAATAAGGGAATATTATAAACAACTTTATGCTAATAAATTTGACATCTAAATGGAAATAAATAAATTTCTTGAAAGACACAAATTACTAAACTGATTCAAGAAGAAATAAAACCAGGGTGCCTGGGTGGCTCAGTAGGTTGAGCGTCTGCTTTTGGCCGGCCCAGGTCATGGTCCCAGGGTCCTGGGATCAAGCCCCTCATCGGGCTCCCTGCTCAGCAGGGAGTCTGCTTCTCCCTCTGCTCCTCCCCCCGCTTGTGCTCACACTCTCTCCCTCTCTCGAATAAAATCTTTAAAAAAAGAAAAGAAAAAAAAAGCCCCCCAAGCCCTATATTAATTAAAGAAATTAAAGTCTCCCCATGTAAAAAACTCCAAATTCAGATGGTATATTCACTTTCTATTGCTGCTGTAACAAATATAGTACCTTAAAACAACAAATTTATTATCTTACAGTTCTGTATGTTAGAAGTCCAACAAGGGTTTCACTAGACTAAATTCAGGTGTCAGCAGGGCTCTGTACCTTTCTGGTGGCTTTAGGAAAGAGTCTATTTCCTTGCCTTTTCCTTGCCTTGACTAGCTTCTAGAGGCCACTTACATGGGTCATGGCCCCCTTCCTCCATCTTCAAAGCCAGTAACATTGCAGTTCTCTAACAGGAGTATATACATTACATTCTCACATCTCCCTCTGATCCTGATTCTTCAGATAATAAAAAATAACCTCCCTATCTCAAAATCGTTAATTTATTAACATCTGCAAATTCCCTTTTGCCACATAAGGTACCATATTCACAGGTTCCAGGATAAGCAAGTAGACATATCTGGGGGTGATTATTGTGCTTACCACAGATCCCTATGTTGTTGAATTCTATCAGACATTTAAGGAAGAAATACTACAATTCAATAAATTCTTCCAGAAAATAGAAGAAGATGTATTTCCTAACTTATTTTATAAATTAAGGTGAAATAAAGACATTTTTACGTTAAGAAAGCTGAGAGTATTTATCATCAAAAGAGACAAACCATGGGAAATGCTGAAGGAAGTTCTTCAAGCTAAAAAGAAATGATACCAAACAGAAATTCAGATCTCAAGAAGCAAGAGCAATTAAAAATGGTATATATGTGGATAAATAAAATATATTTGCAAATAATCCAATAAAGTATTTTTTCAAGATTCTTTTGATTCCTTTGTTTCTGTGGATTTTCCCCTTTTTAAATTTTTATATTGCACTTTCTC